CCATTTGAAGCCATCTTGGGGCCAGGCTGGGTCACATTGGACCCTCTTCCCTCTCGCGGAAACTTGGTCCACACCCCAGGGGATGGGGGAGGGCGAAGGATAAAGTTCCCAACGGGTATGCCACAAGCTGTCTCGCTCACATCCATCCACCCTCCCACCACCTCAGTAGCACCAAAGATTCAACCAGAGCAGAGGCCGCCGTCGGAGGGACATCCGTCGCGAACCAATACGGACGCCAGGTGCGCGACGCGCACAAGCTGCGCCAGGTGACCCAGAGGCCCAAGCGAGCCAGGCGAACACGGCGTGCCAGATGCGCCACGTGCGCCAACTGTGCCACGAGCTCCAGCCGCGCCGCGTGCGCGACGCGCGCAGAGTGCACCAGGTCGCGGCAGGCGCGCCAGTGTTGGGGGATTTTTGTTCCTCCCAATTAAGGAGAAACTAAGTTCTTTTGAATTCAAAGTGCCCGCACACACCAGAGATCGTGTCGACTCCCCCCCCTTCCAGCATCAGGTGGATGGCGGCGGGGTAGTCAGCACGGCGCAAGCTGTGTGCACCCGCAATGAGACAGCTTCGGTTTCTGACAGGCGTGCACGCTGGTCGCTGCCAGTAGGTATTTCTGGTTTCCCAGATCCCAATCTACTTCAGCGCCTTCTTACTTCAGGACTGAATTTGCTTTTGCTGTGTTTTGTTATTCTCTGAGAGGGCCTGGCACCAGTCTACGTTAGCTGTCTGCCTACTTCATGTTTTTCCTATTTCTTCCGAGCGGCGTGTGGTGGGGCAACGCACGGCGGACACAGCTGCTTACACCCCCGTCACCAATGTCAGACGTCAGTGCGAATCGGTCTCCGAGCGTTCGCTCATGATCCAGATCGTTGTGGCCACGTGCGTCTGGTTGTTTCTTGTGGGCCATGGTTTCTGGTGGGCGTTTGGTCGAGCGGGGGAGGTCGTGTTTATGAATATCCTCGCAGAACGAGTGGCGTAACCACGAATTTTCGGAGCTCCGCGCAGATTTCGTGGATTGGCGCTGGGGCCTCTCTGGCAACGCTCTCCGCGCCCCAGCGAGTGGGTGTCAGCTCCGATCCTAAAAATCCGCGCGGTCGTCAACACGTTAATGTTCATGCAGTTCGTTGATTCTCTTCTCGTGGTTCTTGGTTGGTGGCCAGTCGAGTGAGGGCGGGCGTGTTTATCAATACAGGGCAGTGAGGAGCGCCTCCCCGAAGGGGAAGCTCGTTCTCGCTAATCCGACTCCGCGCAGAGGGTCGTTGGGATTACTGCGAGCCGCGTTGTGCAACCCAATGCAGAGCTGTATGCAGCAGTGCAAGGATGCACAGTTGCGCAAGGCAATGTAAATCAAAGCAGCGCAACGTGTCGAACAACAGCTCAGCGGAACTCAGTGCACAGTCTAGCGCAACAGAGCAGAGCAAAGCAGTGCGAGAAGTGCGAGATAATGCAAAGCAGCGCAAGGCAGTGCAGCGCGATGCTGATTATGCCAAGGCGGTGCAAAGCAAAGCGATGCTAATACATTCAGCGCATCGCAACCTGTGGTGTAACTCATGGTGCAACCTACAGCGGATCCGATGGCCCAACCCATGGCGCAACATACGGCACCGAAACGCCCCCGGGTGCCCATACCCAGTTCTTGCCCCTCGGGCATTGGCCAGGGCAGTGCCCGGAAGTAACAGGACCGGAGAGGAAGAACTTGAACGATTTGTTCCAGGCTGCGTGTGAACACTTTGCCATGCATTATATGCACTCTGCTGTTCCAGTACCGCGCATCGGTCTGCCCTGGTGCTCCATCTCCCGCTTGATACTTCGTTGCGTGTAGGATTAGGATGTGACTTTGTTTGCTCGAAGCTTCAGGGACAACAAGAGGATTTGGCCGACGGCTACTTGTGCGGGCAACGTGTACGGGTTCCGTGCCCCAGACACCCGATGTGCAGTGGATGTGGATCGGAACCTGCCCTCCAGAGGCTCGATATTACACATATCCACCGCGCCTCGGCCTTTTGGCGCCGTTTCCCAGACATTCCAAGACAAAGTGGTTATGAATGTAAACCTTTCACGCAGCTAGGCCAAGGGAGACACGATCATTGTTTTTCTCTCCGCTTTCGTGGTGCCGCCGCCGCTTGCCGCGGTCGCAGCGTGCTTGCCAGAGCAGATGCCCCATTCTAGCCAGGGATGGTTGTGGGTAGCATCTACATTGGCCGCCCTTGGCTCCCGATATGTGTCAGGAGGGCGTGGAAATGGGTATCGTTCAACCTGGCCCGACGTCCAGAATTGCGCCGTGCAAGCTTACGGCTTCCGTGCTTGGCTTCCAGGTCTCCAGCGGGCGCGAAGATCATCGCGATGCAGCATTCTATTCAGAAGTGGTCGTGGGTAGGGTCCGATCTTTGTCAGTGGGGCTTTGTCGTGGTTATCGTTCAGCTGGCCCGACGTCCAGAATGGCGCGGTGTAAGCTTACGCGCTCCGTGCTTGGTGTCCAGGGCGCAAGCGGGCGCGAAGATCATCGCGATGCACCATTCTAGATTAGTCAGGATTGGCCTCGGGTAAATCTGGATTGTTCGCCTGCTGCTCCCGATCACTGTCAGTGGGGCTTGGCCAGGGGAAGTCGTTCAACCTGGCCTTGGCCTGGCGCCCAGAATGGCGTGGTGGAAGCTTGCGCGGTCCGTGCTTGGTTTCCTGGCCGCAAGCGGGCGTGAAGACCATTGCGATGCTCCATTCTACTCCATTCTAGATTCTAGTCAGGATTGGCCGTGGGTAGGATCCGTACTGGCCGCCTGCTGCTCCTGATCTTGGTCAGTTGGGCTTGGCCAAGGGGAATCGTTCAACCTGGCCCGGCGTCCAGAATGGCGCTGTAGAAGCTTATGCGTCCTGTGTTTGGATGCCAAGCCGAAGGTGGGCGCGAAGAAAGTCGCGATGCCCCATTCCAGTCAGGGATGATCGTGGGTAAGATCTATATTGGTCAGTGAGGCTGGGCAGAGGGGAATCGTTCAACCTGGCCCGACGTCCAGAAAACTTACTACATCCGAGCTTGGTTTCCAGGCCGCAGGTGGGCGCGAAGACCATCGCGATACCCCATAGATTCCAGTGAGGATCGGTCGTGGGTAGGGTCTGCATTGGTCGCCCGTGGCTTCCGAGATGTGTCAGCGCGGCTTGGTCATGGGGAAACCAAAAGGTACCGATACCGCTACTCCCCGGAACTCTCCTTGTGTGCGCTCTGACAAGAATTTCGAGGCGAATCCAGCGGTGTTGACGAGGGCCTCGCAGGAGACCCAACAAGGGGAAAACGGGGCGAGGGGTAACGGTATGGGTACCTTTCCCTTCTCTGAGGTCATGGTCGCCGCTCAACCCGACCCGAACTCCAGAACGGCGCCGTGTGCGCTTGCGGCTTCCGCGCCCGGCTCCTGGGCAGCAGGCAGGCGCGAAGGTAAAATCATGCCACCATGCCCAGGCGGCTTGCCCTCGCGCAGGCCGAAGCCTTACATTTGGCGTGGGCCGACTCCTGGCTACCATTAGGTCGGGTATGTCCTACAGTGAAATATGCGAAAAGAGTCGAAACATAGCCAAAACATAGTCCCCATATTACTTTTTGACTATTTTTGCATGGTCCTCCTGCTGAGGGACATGCCCGACTTACGGCTACAAGCGGTCAAGCTTGAGCGCCCGCGCTGGGGTCGCTGGCGCGTCGCAACGACACGACCCTGCCGTAGACTCGCGATACGCAGCCGTCTTCGGACTCGCGCCGCCGCCCCGGAGACGGTCCCGGCTGGCCTCAAAGAGCCCCTTCCGAGTAGTCGAGGGCGGCAAAGATGGGGGGTGATGACTAGGACTAGGGGGGGTGGATGTCATGGCGGGGGCGATTATATCTCCCCAGATGTCATTGCGCCTCTTCTTATTTCATTACGTCCCTGGCCCCCCCATGAACCGCGCACATGCCGCCGACCATGATTTGCACCCCCCCCTCTTGGACGCCCCCCTCTTGGTCGCCCCCAGTCTATACCCAGACTCCTCTCCCTCCCTCCCGCCCAGAGCTCAGGAGATCATGCGATTCGGGTAGGGACATGGGCGACGCAGACACACGGGGTCGTCTTCACCGACGTCGGCGCGTACACTGCGCGCGCGCGAGGTCGCGTGTAGACGCCCTCGTTCCAGTGCGGCGTGCCGTGCTGGCGGCCCGCGTCTTCCACCGCGTAAGGTCGCTGTGCCATCTCGCGAAAGACCCGCCTCTCTTCGTCGCACGCGTGGCTCTGTGCCGTCTGGTCGGGACGCTCCCGTCCCAGGTCGGCGTGCCCAACGGGCCCTGATGCCTCCCTGGCAGGGGCGGCAGGCCCTGCTGGTGGCCGCAGAGCACGCCCTGCTTGTGGCCCCTTCGTCGGCTGTGCGTCACAGTGGCCCTCTGCCAGAGGGACCCTGTGTGCGGGCCCACATCGAGGGAGGAGATACGGAGACCGTGACCAAGATGTCGGTTTCTCTCGTCGGTGCAGATCAACAGTGACCAAGATCGACGCGACGGGCAGTCTTGGTCATGGTCCCTGTGTTCTCCTCCACCACAGGTGTCCCTCTGGCACAGGCTTGCACGCATTGATCTGGACCCCCCGCGGCCCCCTGAAGCCTTGCACCAAACCCAGACCCCAGTCAGCAACAAAATCACGACGAACGATTTTTCGCTATTTTCTCCTTCTGGGGGCCCTGACTGGGCCTCGGGACCGTCAGCACACGACTCAGAATGAGAAGCCCGTCCTGGGGAATGGGTCCAGTCGAGACCTCTGGGGTTCAGCGCCGTGAAACGATCGTGGCGTCGGGGGTCTGGGAAGGTCACTCTTGCCCAGGGTCACTCTCGCGCGCATGCGACCCTCGGGGATCGAGGCGCCTCGGGACGAGATGCCTCGAGGTGTGACCCACGCGAGGCAGCCGGAGGGCCCTCACGAGCTCTGCCTCGAGCCCCTCGTGGCCCCTCGCGGCGCCGCGCCGGCACGCCGGCCCGTCGCCCGCGCTGCCAGGGGTTCGTGCCGGAGCTGCTGCTGACGTTTCCGCTGGCCGCCAGGAGTCGCGCACGCCTCCGTTCTCTCAGAGCGTGAATTACCTACCCCGCTTTCGCTTCCAGACAAAACCAGGTCATCCCACGCGCCTCCTGGTCGAGCGACCTGACTGGCGCGGGCCGTAGCCTGCTATCGTTTGGTATCTTTTGGAAGCGAGGGTGGTCAAAAGCGAGGTAGGTTCGTTTGCCTCCTGCTCTCCCTGCTCGGGGGGGGGCTGGTGGACGGGGGGTTCATCCCCTGGTGGGGTTAGGGGCACTCGCCTGGATGCTCCCGCTTCCTCCTTTCACGGGCCGTGTTTGAGCGATCTTCTTGCAGTCCCCGCCTCTGCCCCAACCCTACCTTTACGTCCCCCCCCGGCCTGCTTGTGTCAACGAACACGCCAGCCCGCACACTACGAGGAGGGGAGGCATCCGCCACCACCGCCCCGGGGGACCGAGCTTCGGCGGCCTCATTGGGCGGGGGGCGGTGCATGTTCGAGCTCTGTCGGGGCCAGAGTGTGCGCTGGCCGCTGGGGTCCCAGGGCGTCGTTTCCACAGGCGGTGGATATGTCAAGCCGTGGCGAAGCGTCCTGGCACGCCTATAGGCCCACCAAAGAATGTTCTAATCATCTTTTGTGGTCTGCACGAAATGTTCTTAGAACATTTCTGGTCGAGACTGTCTTGCTCTAACATATCCGGCTTACGTTCGAAGAACACTGTTTTTGTTCGAGTTCTACGAACATGTCGTGGTAGGCCTATATGAGTGCCGGGACGGTTGGTCCCTGATTCAATATGGATAAGCCCTCGCCTCGCATGCATTCCAACCGTTGATCTTTTTGCCAATATTTATTGCGAAGGGACCTCAAGCGCTGCATGAGTCAGGTTCTTGCTGCGGAACGGCATCGTCCATCTCACGCCTCGCATCAGGCTACACCTCAGCGCATGACCATTTATCAGGTGCCGGGCAATGGCACATTTCGATTGTTTATTCATATGCTGGGGGACCAGCGACAGCCAGATTTTGTGCAAATGGGACACGTCGTACACCTGCGGAAACGGGGGTTCGGGAACCATGTCATGGCCAGCACGGGCCCAGTAGCCCCAGTTGATGAGCAAATTGCTTCGACGCGCCGAGAATGTATCAGCTGGGATCATGGTGACACAGGAGGAGAGTGCCTGAGCACCTCATTTATCAGTAACCGCTGGGTTGAGAACACGCGATTCTGTTGCGTAGCCTGACGCATGCCTTCTAGCCTGACGTATGCCTGTGCATCTATGTATATAAATAAACGCACATGTATATTCACATATAAATGGGTAGGGGGTTCCGGGGGGGGCGAAGATCCGTGATTTGAGTACCTGGCCTCTGGCCACTTTCCCTGGGCGGCTCGTGACCCTTCTGGGTGCGTCCCCGTAGCGCGTCCCGGGGCACGTCGCCTGCGTTTCGGACGTTCCGCGGCGCGTCCTCCTGGCGTGTCCCCCTGTCAATTAGCTCTTGGGCAGCTACCACGTGGCCAGGCAGCTCGAACTTAAGATCCAGATCAGTTCGGTCAGGACTCGGATACAACGGAGGACTCGATCCACAACGCTATAGAGCGCAATCGCGGCATGGCATACCGCAATTCATCACGGCGCGGCACAGCACAGCCCTCGGCACGGTCCGTCAAGATCGATACATTCAGCACTGCAATTCGGCGCGTTTCCTGGCACGTTCCGTGGTGCGTCCTCTGGCGAGTCCCCCTGGCACGTCGCGCGGCGCGTCCCCTGGCACGTCCCGTGGCGCGTCCCCTTGGCACGTTCCGTAGCGCGTCCCTTCGGCACGTCCCGCGGTGTGTTCCCCATGCCACGCCCCCTGGCACGTCGCCCGACGCGTTTCCCTCGGGACGCTCCGCGGCGCGTCCCCCCCCGGCCTCTTTTCTCCCTTGTCAAACGATCTCTGGGGCAGATACACGCCGGTCGTTGAAATGTTTTTTGGATTCCCAGAACCCAATATACTTCAGACGCCTTCCTACTTCAAGAATCGATATGGTTTGGCTGTTGTTTGCTATTCTTTGGGCGGGCCCGAACCCAATCTACTTCACCCGCCTTCCTACTTCATGTTTCTACCTACTTCTTCCGACCGGCGTGTACTGTGTGTTCAGGCAGCTCCAGCTCAAGATCCAGATCCGTCCGCTCAGGACTCTGATGCAAAGGAGGACTCGATCCACAACGCTACAGAGCAAAATCGTGGCATGGCACATCGCACTTCAGCACGGCGCAGTGCAGCACAGCACAGCCCTCGGCACAGTACATCAATACTGATACACTCAGTATTGAATTTACCCGTCGCCCAATCAGGTGTCTTTGAAATGTCGCCATGCCTTACATTTCTACATTCCTTTCCGGGTTCTTGGGTCGATCATGTTTCCTGAAAAGGGGGGTGCCCAGAGCTCTTTTCTAGCTGACTAATTTCTCCCAGTTTGGATTTGAGATGGGCCAGCGAAACATAACGAGTTGAAGTTTCATTTTCCCGGAAGCGGCGGGTCCCAGGGCTCTCTCTAGTAGGTCCATCCCCCCCCCCCGCCCCAGGACGACTTGAGACGGGCCGGCGGAATCACTTGCGATAAATAACGAGGTCGAGACGGGCCGGCGGAATTATTGTTGAAAATGTCCTGGGCGAAACGCTGGTTTGGGAAATTCCGATGGATCAACTACAGGGTAAAGTCCGTATTTTCGTTTGTTGTGGATGTCTCGAGCGAATCGTTTGGTTTGTGCTTTAGATCGCTTCCCTCCTGGGGACTTGAATTCAGAGGATGTCTTTGGTGAAATGCTTGTTTTCTCGTGCCCAGATCATGAGGATGTCTGGTGCGAGACGCTTCGACGATGTCTCGAGCTAAATGCTTGTTTTGCAGAGTTCGAGCGGCATGGGCGCCTCAGGATGCCCAGGCGATTCTTGGAGCCCGAACGCAGCGTAACCGACCGCGGGCGATAATAAAGTACCCCCCCTTCAACCCCTCTATTGCTTAAATTCCCGACCACAGGGATCTATGTGTGGGGAAGGCGCGGAGACCGAATTTTATAATCCACGGAAAAGTTGCGGGGATCGGAGTTGCGGAAAGTTCCATGTCGATTAACAGCAGCATCGACGACGCTGAGCATGGCCATGGTGGTCTCACCACACCAGCTTCCGCAATCACGAGCGTGTGGAAGGGCTGCGGGATTCTCACCAGTTCAGTTTGCCCACGTTACGACCGCGTGGCAGCGCCATGGGGTTCTCATTTTCTTAGCCGCTCCCGAGGCCCATAGTGGCCGATTGGATTTTGATTGCGCATGCGTTTTTCGAGCAGGCAGGGCATTGGAGTGCGTTCGTTAAGGGAATTACCTTTTTTTGCGCACCCCTCACACGGTTCGTGGCCCTTCCTCTTCCTCCTCCTCCCCCTCCTCCTCCTCCTCCTCTTCCTCCTCCTCCTCCTCCTCCTCCTCCTCCTCCTCCTCCCCCTCTGCCCCCGCAGTTGCCCAGACCCAAGCTTCCCCGAGCCTCCGAGATTCCAAGCTTTCGAGAGTCTTCGAGGCGCCGATCCGCTTCGCCCCGGGGGCAGCGATGGGGGGGGGGACAGGCATGCCTTTGCATCGGCGATGTATCGCCGATGCGTACGCACATCGACTTGGAATCTGCGATACATCGCCGACGCATCTGGCGCGCATCGCCGATGCATCGGCGATGTATCGCCGATTCCAGGTCGATGCCCCCCCCCCCCCTCTTTGCCCATCCCCTCGCATCATTGCTCCTGACTGCTTCGCGAGCCCCAGCCGTGGCCCAGCCCGCCGAGCGCGCAGCTGCCGCGAGCCTGCCCGTCCAGGTGCTGAAGCACGCGGCGGCGCCGAGCCCGAGCTCGAACGAGATTCTCGAGCGCATGGCCAAGCAGAACGAGAAGATCATCGAGGAACGGAGCTACATCGCCGAGAAAGTCAGCGTCGTCGAGATGCGCCAGTGCCAGTCGAGCGCGCAAGGCACGGATGCAGCGAGGACTACGAGCTGCTACTTCAAGGCCGACAGCGCCTCGCGGTCGTCGAGCGCCCAGCAAGCCGTGCTGGAGATGGGCTACCACGGCGGGCGCCACAAGAACATCGAGTACGGCCACATCTTCAACGAGAAGGACAAGAAACGCATCGAGTTGGCCGTGGCGGCGTTCTTCAAGACCCACGTCGGGAAGTACGAGCGCGCGCGACATCTTCGAGAACCACGGAGGGCCGGCCGATGACCTTCTCTGGCCCATGCCGACCTTCAAGGCCAAGCTGCAGGAGCTCGCCACGAAGAGAGACATGGATCTCGGCGCCGAGAAGGTCAGGCAGCTGACCCACGGCTCCTACACCGAGCGCGTCGGGGTAGCCCTCCCAAGAATCCCCGCCGAGCTCCTCCACCTCCACGAGCTAGCGCTGCCAATCAACACGAAGTTCGAGCCCGTCGAACACCTGCGCGAGAGGCCCGCCGAGATTGCCGAGATGCTCTTCAAGATGATTCCGAGCAGGGCCCGAGAGCACGCCAGGTGGTGCAACGAGACCTCCATGGTCTCGATGGCGACCTGCGGGGCCGCCAAGGCTACGACCCTAGCCGTCATCAAGAGGCGCTGGTCCATCGAGAAGGCAGCGGACATGAGCTGCGAGCTGCGCGAGCGCAGCTGCCAAGACACGCGCGCCCAGCGGGATTTCTCGAAAACCGCCAAGCAGCAGAAGCACGACGAGGTACTTCTCGAGAACCACATCAAGCTGCACTTCGACAGGTGCGCGTCGATCCATGAAGAGTACGACAAGCTTTACATGGGCGAGCGCGATGACGAGAGGAGCCAGGCCGACGCGGAGGCCGAGTCAGAGCCCGCCTCGCCCATGCTCGCGGACGCCCTAGCGCGCGGGCTCACCGAGCGAAGCGCCCCATGTCTTCCGCTACGAGGGCGCCTTTTCGAGGCTCGCGCTCGAGCCCCATCTTTATTTATACACATATATACATATATATATATATATATATATATATATATAACTATATTTATATA